TAATTCTAACCATAGATCAATTCACATTTGTGCATTAAATAATCTACCGATTTGCCTCATGATAATATCACAGAAATTTCCAAAATCTGGCCCCACTGAAAACACTTGGGGTAGACTCAATATGAAAATAATAATAATATTGAGATGATTCACCTAAAAAATATTACTTTCAAAAAAACTTTTAAAAAATTTGTCAAGTTACACTGAATACTTAATGTACAGCAAGGTAAAAGAATGTGCTGTCTTACTACAGAAATACTGAAACCATTTCTGGAAGAAGGGGAATTATACAATCAAATCTTTTCTCCAAATATAGTTCTACATTATTCTTTTTTAAATTCAAGGCCCCTTTCAAAAGCATTTAGTACAGATGGTGAGGCTGATTATAATCATGCAATGTCATGCACTTACAACAGAAAGATCTCCCTAAAGCAACGTTTTTCTTTTGACTTCAACTACCATCAGTTCTACCAGCTTTGACCTTGGGGGTTATTTACCCGCAGAAATATGTTTAAAAAATTAAATTAAAAAGAGGCCTAACAAGAATAGGACAGAATACTCTCCTTGACATACTAACTACGATGACTCAAATGAAACAACGAGAAGAAAGCAAAGCAGCATCTGTAAGTGTAGCAGTCGCTCATCTATATGCACTCATATCTATACCATGCTTCATGGCTAGATAAGACTGGGTCGAGTTAAAAGTGCAATCAGTATAGTGAAATGAAGTAACTAGTAGTAAATACACATTAAATTATATTGTCTACACTGCAAACTGCTATGTTGCTTGCGCTACCGAATCTAGAAAAAATTTAACTGATATAGTCATCCACTATATATTTGCAATATCAAGCCTGTGATGTATTAACCATGGCTACCCAATGCAAAGTGTAGAAAATTAAGAACTGAAGGCAGTGATCTGTCCAAAGGACTAACGAACCATGTGACCCCACAGTCTCCATTAGCTTGAGACTGCAATAACTAGATGGAGCCAGGAGACCAGAGTAAGTAGATGGTGCCAAGCTACCAATCATTACCAAGTGTTCTGATAGGCATCACAACTAAAAGTCCTGGAACAGAAGAAGAAAAATGCAGAACAAAATTCAAAATCATAAAGAAGGCCAGACTTGATGGTCTGATAGAGACTGGTGGATCCTCTGAAGTTTTGTCCCTTAGACAGCCTTCAAACTTGTGCCCTAATCTACTCCCAGAGTCTACCTTCAGTCAAACAATAGGCAAACCTACAAGATGAAGGCAGTGGTGAAAAACAAGCCTCCAGAAATTGACTGAGTACCAATCAAAATGTTCCAACAAATGGACTCAGTTCAGGGCATGCTCATTCAACCATGTCAAGAAATGTGCAACCCAGGGAATAAATGAGCCGGTCAGGGTGCAGTATAGCACCGATGAAACACACAACCTTCCTCTAGTTCTTTGGTGCTTCCTCCCCACTATCATGACCTCAATTCTACCTTACAAATCAGATTAGACCAGAGCATGAACACTGCTACAGACAAGAGCCCACAACACTGGGAATCCAGGATAGATAAACCCCTCAGGGCCAACAATGAGAATAGAGATATCTGGAGGATTCGGGGAGTGGGGGGAAAGGGGGAATCGATCACAAGGATCAACCTATAACCCTCCTCAGGGGGATGAACAATGGAAAAGTGGGTGAGGGGTGACAGAGGACAAGGTGAGATATGTAAATAATAATCTATAACTTATCAAGGGTGCATGAGGGAGGGCAGGGAGAGATGGGCAAGAAATGGGGAGCTGATATCAGGGGCTCAAGTGGGAAGTAAATGCTTTGAAAATGATGATGGCGGCATAGGTGCAAATGTGCTTGACAGACTGGATGAATGTATGGATTGTGAAAAGAGTTGTACGAGCCCCCAATAAAATGATTTTTTTTAAATGTGCTACCTGGCTAACCATCTAGAAGTAATCCATATTCAAGCTCATCAAAAAAAAAAAAAGGTGATCAAATACAATGTGGAAAATATTCAACAATATCATTAATATAACACTGTAAAATTTTACACAAGTGCAAAAAAAAGTTGCAGCAGTATGTCAACAGAGAACTGCCAGAATTGAAGCCAGATTCAAAAGATGACGAAGAACATGGAATATCATTGCTCATCTCAGATGAATCTTGGCTGAAATTAGAGAATACCAGAAATACATGTTTACCTGTATTTAATGGACTATGTAAAATGCTGAAAAGTAAGGCTGTTATTTTGAGGCCTAAAATACACCTATCCCAGTCATGGTGTTTTCAACGGCCTTATCTGCATATGAAAGTTGGACAGTGAAGAAGGAAGACCAAAGAAGAATTGATGCATTTGAATTATGGTTCTGGCAAAGAATATTGAAAGTACCATGGATTGCCAACAGAATAAACCATCTGTCTTGGAAGTACAGCCAGAATTGTCTGTAGAAGCAAGATGGTAAGACTCTGTCTTACATACCTTGGAAATGCCATCAGGAGAGCCCAGTCCCTGGAAAAGGACATCATGATTGTTAAAAGGGAAGGGCAGCGAAAAAAGAGGAAGGCCTGCGACGATATGGAGTGACACAGCGGCTGCAACAACGCGCTTGGACACAACAACAAAGGTGAGGCTGGCACAGGACCAGGCGGTGTTGTGTTCTGTGGCACATAGGGTTGCTATGAATCAGAACTGGCCCTACAGCACTTAACAGCCTACCGATGCAGAGGCATTCAATAGAGTTGATCCTAAGAAAATGTGGATAATATTGTGAAAAATGGGAATTTCAGAATACTTCAGTGTACTCATGTGGAACCTATACATAGACCAAAAGCACTCATTTAAACAGATATAAAACAACAAACTCGCCGACATCAAGTGGATGCTGACTCAGAAGGACCCTGTGAGTTTCCAAAACTGTAACTCTTTATGGAAGTAGAAAACCCTGTCTTTCTCCTGGTTTAAACAGATCAATGATTAAAATCAGGAAAGGTATGCATCAGGGATGAATCCTTCTGCCTTTGTATTCAACCTGAATGTCGAGCAAATAATCTCAGAAGCTGGACTATACAAAGAAGAATTCCGTATTAAGACTGGAGGGAGGCTCTTTAACAACCTACAACATGCTGACGACACAACTTTGCTCGCTGAAAGTCAAGAAGACTTAAAGAACTTACTGATGAAGATCAAACATTAGAGTCTTCAATATGAATTACACCCGAGCACAAAGAAAACATAAACTCTCACAACTGGATCAATACGCAACATCACTGCAAATGGAGGAAAGATTAGAGTAGTCAAGGATTTCATTTTGCTCGAATCCACAATCAAAGCCCATGTTATCAGAGTTAGGAAATCAAACGGTAAATTGCAATGGGCAAATGTATTGCAAAAGACTTCTTTAAAGTGTTAACACGCAAAGATACCACTTTGAACAATAAGGTGTCCCTGACCAAAGCCATGGTATTTTCAATTACCTTATATGCATGTGAAACCTGATCAACTAATTAGGAAAACTAAAGAAGAATTGATGCCTCTGAATTATGCTGTCGGTGAAGAATATTAAATATACCGTAGAATGGCAGAAGAATGAAAACTATCTCTTGGAAGAAGTACAGCCAGAATCCTTCATAGAAGCAAGGATGATCAGATTTCCTCTCACATACTTTGGATATGTTCTCAGGGAAGACCATTCCTTGAAGGAAGTACATCATGCTTGGTAAAGTAGAGAGGGGCAGCGAAAAAGAGGAAGGCCTTCAACAAGACAGATTGTCATAGTAGTCCAACAATGGACTCAAACATAGCAATGATTGTGAAGATAGCACAGGAATGGGCAGTGTTTCATATTCTGTTGCACTTACAGGTCTGAGTCAGAACCAACCTAACAACAATATAGTGAAAAATAGCACACACGTGAAACACGTTTCTCAGAACAATCACCCGACAGCACTAAAAGGACAGCATTTAAACAAAGTTCAGAGGGCACAGGGGTCAGGAAAGATGGGTCAGCAAACAGAAATGGAGAGCCCAGGAGGAAGCAGAAAGACTGGAGTTACACCGAGGGGATTACAATCAATGTCACAAAACATGTATCAATTGTAGAATGGGTAACTCCTTTGCTGTGTAAACCTTCACACAAACCAGAATAAAATGTTAAATAAAAAATGACCACCAGTTGACGGACCAAATGATTAACTGACACACTACCGTTGTCCTGAAATTTCTTAAAGCCAGTAATATATTTTAAAATAAGCATACAATATACCTGATTCTATTGTAACCAATATCCATTCAATAAGCACCATGATTATAATTATAAGGTAGCTACCATATGTTATATGAAAATGAGAGAGGAGGCAAGAGAGAAATATGATAAACTATTTTTAGGTATATAACTTCATGTGGCTTATTAGTCATAGCATGTTCTATAAAATAGGACACTATGTAATTTGGACATTATGCAATCATCATATTATATTCAGGCAATCTCCAGATCATGGAAGAGTTCTGTTCATAAGTCTGTCTAATGTCATATCTAAATTCAGTTGGCCAAATATTTTGCTTAGTGTATAGCATATCATACCAAAAAAATTAAAGAAATACTTCCAGAGATGTTTGAACATATTTAACATAGTGATACAGGTATAATTTTTTTATATGCATGGCAAAGTAGCACACATTTGTCATTACAAACCATTGAGTATGATTCTCAAAATTTTAATGTAACAGGCCTTCGAGAGCTTAGAACCACAGTCATGAGTCTGGTCTGACACTGCCCAAGCAGGCGGTACGCAGCCTATGGTCACCTGCATTGGTTTTCCTGTTACGGGGCTTCCTGTGCTATCCTTTGGTAACAACAGTGCTTCCTCGGGTAAGGACGCACTACAGTTCAACATATGGTTTCCAGAAATGTCTTAGAAGACAAACTTTAAGCCAAATGGTTGGCTGATGATACTGTAACATAAAATAATAATAGTATGATCTCTCATGTATGAAGTGACACAGACTCACCATCGGTAGACATAAGCTTCAAGTTATTTTCCACAGGGGCAATGAACTTGCTGATCTAGTCAATTCTCTTTCCAAAGTTCTCTGGTGAACAATATCTTAAACCTGCAAGATGAGGTTACCAGTGGTTACAAAAAGTAACAAAACAAAATGATGACAATAACAGTGAAACATGTGCCGCTGGTCTCACTACTAAGTTCTGATAAACTAAAATTAAATGTCAAAATGAGATAAAAAATACTATCTAGTATAATACAAAATTATATACATTCATTGTATTCAACACAAGCGGCTTCAGAAAGTTCATGTAAAAATGAAGTTTAAAAAATAATGGAATTTTTCCACAAACTTTTTTAAGCCACCACATATGTATCCTAAAGTAAAAATAACAGACCCTGAGCTGTATCTGTAACTGAAAATGTCCACTGCTGCCTTAACTAAAACAAAATCTTTCTGACACGTAGAATCAGAAGTATACAATGATAGTGCTCAAAACATGAAAGCACGCCAACTTTACATCCCTCATCGCCAGTAGCAATAACTGAGCAAATTACAGAATATTCTTGTTAATGTTAGCAATATTCTCAATAGCATTAAATTCAGTATGACTAAATCCAAAATTACTTTGACATTTCACAGAATTCTGAAAAATAATTCCACTTCTTATAAAGAAAAAACCTCTTTAGTTACTAGCTACACTGCTCATTCTCAGTAATACAGAGATTTTGTAATAAAATATTTCCACAGCCTCCTGATATAGAATGTTATCAATTGTCAGTTGAATCTCCCTCATAAGAGTTGAAGAGCTAGTTAAATATTATTAGAGGTTATAGCTTACAAGTCAAATGAATGCTACATGGTTCTTTACTATTTCGAGAAATAAGAAAGTAGATTACCAACTGTTAAAAATCAGTACGAGACTAGGCTTCCTTCCCACCACTATCATGACCTCAATTCTGCCTTACAAATCAGATTAGACCAGAGCATGCACACTGCTACAGATAAGAGCCCACAACACAGGGAATCCAGGATAGATAAACCCCTCAGAGCCAACAATGAGGGTAGAGATACCAGGAAGATTAGGGGAAGGTGGAGGGAGAAAAGGGGCATGGATCACAACGATCAATCTATAACCCCTCCCAGAGGGACGAACTATGGAAAAGTGGGTGAGGGGTGACATAGGACTATGTCAGATATGAAAATAATAATCTATAACTTATCAAGGATGCATAAGGGAGGGAGGGAGGGAGGGAGGGAGGGGCAAGAATGGGGAGCTGCTATCAGGGGCTCAAGTGGGAAGAGAATGCTTTGAAAATGATGATGGCAGCATATGTGCAAATGTGCTTGACACACAGGATGAATGTATGGATTGTGATAGGAGATGTAAGAGCTCCCAGTAAAAGTATTTAATTTAAAATAATAATAATGATTCCTGTGCTCGCTCCAGCAGCACATATCCTAAAATTGGAATGATACAAGAAGATTAGCAAGGCCCCTATGCAAGGATGACACGCAAATTCATGAAGCTTTCCAAATTTAAAAAATAGTAATAATAATGATTCCTGAGGGGTGGTAGGGTAGGAGAGGGACAGGATAAAGGGGAGCTGATATCAAAGAGTTCAAGAAGAAAGTAAATGTTTTCAAAATGATGTGGCAGCAATTGTACAACTATGCTTGATCTAATTGAATTATGGATTGTTATAATATCTGTAAGAGCTCCCTAAACAAAACAAATGTTCTTAAATCACTAAGAGGCAATTCAAAACTAGATCTACCTCAAGGAAAGCCACAATGCTAAACAGCTATGAAAAGCAAGGCACTATTTAGGGATTTTGTAAACAAGTATAAAAATAAAAAGCCATATTGCACAGTCTCAAGGAAATATAATATCAGTATTATTGAAACATTTCACTGCTAACCACATTCTGTTCTACCCTGCTGTATGCAATAACAAACAGCTAAATTCTAAGCCAGATGCTCTGCTAGAACAGGAAGAGTGAAATGGAAAGTGCAGCATCACACCAGAACATGGAAACTACCATGGTGATGAGGCTTTGGGACTCCTCTTGCAGGTAGAGAGATAAGGAAAGTCAGTAGGAATGTTGAAAACCTCTGCTATAACCGTGATGTAGGACCACTGGCACCTGTAAACAAATAGATTTTGTTAACTACTTACACCTTAATCCTGCTCTTCAGTTTCAATGGTTCATTCGGGTATGTTGTCCTAAGAACTCTTTAGGACAGTCCACCTCACCAAGACTGAGAGTCTTCCACCAGGCTGTGAATTCCTAAAGGTCCTCTCCATTTTGGTGTCTCATTCCAGCAATGCACACGAGAGGCCCCTACAAATTATAAAAGCGTAATAAATGCCTAACCAACTGAATTGAACTAGCCCCCGCACCTTTGTTATGTACTTTAATCATCTATCACACCCAAAAATTTCATTAATTCTAACTACTGCCAGCAAACAGAACATGGGAATACCGCACAGCTTAAAATCAGAAAGGTGTGCAATAGGGTTGTATCAGCTCACCATACTTATTCAAGCTGTATACTAAACTAAGACTCAGAAGCTGGATTAAATGAAGAAGACTGTGGCTTCAGGATTGGAGGAAGGCTTTTTAACAACCTGCAGTATACAGCTAACACAACCTCTCTTGCGAAAGTGAGTAGGATTTACAGCACTTGCTGATAAAGATGAAGGATTGCAGCAGACAGACCAAAATCCTCACAACTTGAACAATAGGTAACATCATGAAAAACGGAAAAAATATTGAAGTTGTCAAGGATTTTGTCTTGCTTGGACTCACAATCAATGCTCATGGAAGCAGCAGTCAAGGCATCAAAAGACATCATTTGCATTAGGTAAGGTTTGTGCACAGGACCTCTTTACAGAGTATTGGAAGGCAAGGATGTTACTGTGAGAACTAAGATGCACCTGACCCAAACCATGGTGTTTGCAGTTGCCTCTTATGAATGTGAAGGCTGAACACTGACAAGGAAAACCAAAGAAGAATCAATGCATTTATGGTGCTGGATAAGAACACTGAAAGTACCATGGGCCGACACATGGGTGGATGTATGGATTGTGATAAGAGTTGTATGAGCCCCCAGTAAAATGATTAATTTTTTTTTTAAACCGAAAGTACCAAAGATTACCTAAACGCCAAACAGATCTGTCTTAGAAGAAGTACAACAGGGTGCTCCTCAGAGGCAAAGATGGTGAGACTTCATGTTACATACTTAGGACAGGTGGTCAGAAGAGAGCAGATCCTGGAAGGACGTCATGCTTAGTAAAGTAAAAGGACAGCAGAAAAGAAGACCCTTACAAAATGGATTAGTGACACCCTGGCTACCACAATGGGCGTTGGCACAGGAACAAATGTGAGGATGGCACAGCACCAGGCAGTGTTTTGTTCTCTCGTGCATAAGGTTGTTCTGTTGTGCTTCGAGTTGGAATTGACTCAATGGCATCTAACAACTACAGCCAGCAGTAGATAAAAATAAGATTATTTATGTTACTATTCCTTCAAAATAATTTGCTCATACACATCTTGAGAACCATGGATATTAATTTGAATACTCTATCTGCTGTTAAATAATTCAGCTTTATGAAAATGAAAAATGGTATAATCGGTTCTATAACATGTTTAGTAGAAGGTGCCACAGATACTAACAGGAAAACTTGGCTAAGAATAAAGGCTTCAAGGAGGAAATGTCATGGGAGATGAGTACTAAGGACTGAGTATCGGCGGGACAAATGGAGAAAGGCATTCTTGAGATAGGAACGCATTCCCATTGCCATCAAGTGGCTTCTGACTCACAGTGACCCTACAGAGTTTCTGAGGCTGCAAGTCTTTAAAGAAGTAGACAGCCTCAACTTCCTCTCAAGGAATGGTTGTTGGGCTTGAGCCACCGACCTTTTGATTAGCAGTCCACTGCTTACCTGACAACGCCACGAGGCCTCCTTTTAAGATCTTAACAGGAGTATGAAAATGGGAGGGAAGGGAAAGACTGAAGGCAAAGGCCAGATTATATAAGAGATAAGGTGGGCTTGAATCACGGTCAATGGAATTATGATGACCCAGTTCTTCACCAGTGACAATTACATCTGTTGCCAAATTCAAATATGTACTTACAGAATGTTAAGGACTCTGTTTTAGAAAACTGTCTAGGTGATAAAATCTCAATTAAAAAGGTATGGCAAGAACTTGACAGAAATCATATCACGATGCCAAAAATATGAGTAATGACCGGTTCCAGGCAATAGGCTATAGCTTAAAAAAAACAAAACTATCATAGTGTTGATAACAAATCTATATAGAGTTTCCAAAGCTGTAAACTGTTGTGGGAGCAGGTGGCCTTATTTTTCTTCAAAGAGTAACTTCAGGGTTTAAACTACCAACCTTGTGATTAGCAGCCCAACATCTAGGTCACGGTGCAGGATCCCAGCAGGGCTAGAAGCAGTGCTGGGCTTCAGCTGGCTTACAGCAGTTTTACAGACCGATTGCTAAGTTTTTGCAGAGTTTGTTGAGGCACTTGTAAAAATGACACTGTACTCAGGGTTCTTTTTTTTTTAATCATTTTATTAGGGGCTCATACAACTCTTATCACAATCCATACATACATCAATTGTATAAAGCACATTTGTACATTCATTGCCCTCATCATTCTCAAAACATTTGCTCTCCACTTAAACCCCTGACATCAGCTCAGTTTTCCCCTCCCTCCATGCTCCCCCCTCCCTCCTGAACCCTTGATAATTTATATATTATAATTTTGTCATATCTTGCCCTGTCCGACATCTCCTTTCACCCACTTTTCTGTTGTCCATCCCCCCAGGGAGGAGGTCACATGCAGATCCTTGTAATCGGTTCCCTTTCCAACTCACCCTCCCTTTACCCTCCCAGTATCGCCACTCACACCACTGGTCCTGAAGGGATCATCCAGCCTGGATTTCCTATGTTTCCAGTTCCTATCTGTACCAGTGTATATCCTCTTGCCTAGCCAGACTTGCAGGGAAGAATTGGGATCATGATGGGGTGAGGGGGGAAGCATTTAGGAAGTAAAGTTGTATTCTTCATTGTTGCTACATCTCCCCTGAATGGCTCATCTCCTCCCTGAGACCCTTCTGTAAGGGGATGTCCAGTGGCCTACAGACGGGCTTTGGGTCTCCATTCAGCACTCCCCCCTTCATTCACTATGGTAAGATTTTTTGTTCTGATGATGCCTGATACCTGATCCATTCGACACCTCGTGATCGCACAGGCTGGTATGCTTCTCCCATATGGGCTTTGTTGCTTCTGAGCTAGATGGCCGCTTTTTTACCTTTAAGCCTTTAAGACCCCAGACGCTATATCTTTTGATAGCCGGGCACCATCAGTTTTCTTCGCCACATTTGCTTATACACCTATTTGTCTTCAGCGATCGTATCATGGAGGTGAGCACACAATGATAATTTTTTGTTCTTTGATGTCAGGGTTCTCTTTTTAAGGTGGGCAGCTGGGCAGCCACCTAACATAAAAATCACAAATTTATATTCCTTACTCTTTTTTAATGTTCTTCTGTGAAACAGCACATTCTACGCATCTGTAGTAATGTTCACTCTGTCCAAAAACAAAAACAAAACTCACTGCCATTGAGTGAGTGCCAGCTCACGGCAACCCTACAGCACAGAACAGAACTGCCCAGGAGTTCCCAAGATTGTCACTGTTTGTGGAAACAGTAGGCCCCTTCCTGTGGAGCTGCCGGTGTTTTCAGACTGCTGCCCTTGCAGCTCCCAACCCAACCTGTACCCACCAGGCCTCCTTTCATGCCATCTATACTACAGGTATAAAAAAATTAGACAAAACTATGCTTGCAAAATTTATTTGTTCACTTCATAAAACTCATTATACTTCTGATGAAATGCTACAATTTGTTACTTCAGTAAGTAAACATAAAAATGTAAAGAGGAAAAGAGCCAAACAGCCGGAGGGTGACACGCTGTCATTCCTTTCAGCTTTGTGCTATGTCCCAAATTCCCATGAAATATTATGAGTAAACTTATGCAAATCCTGAAAGTATTCAAAGACCTAAAATATTGCCTGAACAACTGCTGTAAGTTTGGCAGAAGCAGAAAGGGGTTTTTCAAAGATGAACATAATATGTTCAGAGAAGAGAAGTCGCCTGTTTCTAATGTATCAAACGCAATGACTATAGTCTAATTGGCCTACCGCTACAGGAATGAGATCCTACTCTGACAGAGAAAAGATGGTTAAGGATAAATGACACAGCCAATGATGCTCGGATAAAAGCAAAGAATATTGTGAGGATGCCACTCAAGAATATGGACATACCTTAAGTGACAGTTTTATTGGTTTTTGTCAGGTATTATTTAATATTTTTTCATTAATCTTTTAAAACTCATTCATAGAGCAAAATCTGGTTTTGTGTGCCTTTTAATTGTCTTATTTAAATAATAATGGTATGAAATAATAAACTACTTTTTGGTATATCTTTTTTTATACTTAAAAAAGCCAATAGGACAGCAAACTGGTTGTTACATTATTTGAATCCCACCACTGGCTAGAAGTCATGTTATTTTTCTTGCTACTGATGTACTCCAATTTTTCTAATAATAAAGATTAAAAATTAATCCTAGAGAAATTTCCAGTAGCCTCAAAGCTAAAAGTGGCATTAACTCTAAAGAGCCAAAGCCAGGATTACTTGACAATAAGCTGGCCCTGAAGTGCCCTTCACCACCACAGTCCACTAGGGATGAAATACTACATCGGTACTACACCCATATCCTTCCTGATTCTCTGACATCCTCTTATTGACAATGCCTGTCGAAACCCAACTTCATCATGGCACCAGCTGCAATGATCTCTCTTACACATTATCAGTACTATATTATCTACCCAACACATTTGACATCCAATCATATTTCATGGAAATTATTCTGAATAAATCTCATTCTTCCTACAATTGTTTATAAGGACAGACGATGTGCACAACAGTACTATTCCCAAAAGTATATAAAGATATGACACCTTTATGGACATATGTACATATAATTTATACCATTATTTTGATAAACTAAGCTTATGTGTGCAACCACTACTAAAAGGTTTTCATATAATTTCAGAAACATTGTCGACTAAAGGTAACTTCAAATTTTTTCCCCAAAAGGTCACTACATACAAAATCATTCTAAGATTATAAATCAGAAATAATAAAATTCTCTTGCTACTTATGTTCCAACCTGTTAGCAAAGATGCTATTAAATAGATGAACCAGTCTAGTGCTAAAATGTTCTCAGGGTAGATAAGATTCATTCTTGATTCTATATAGTACCATT